TAACATGATTACGCTGTTTCCGACGTATCAAAATTATTAAAACAAGAAGAACAATTTATCTTTATTCATTTATTATCATTATTCTCTTGCACCGTGTTGGACAATTTTTATTTCGCGGTCTGGTCAGACTTTAGTCAACTTTCAGACGTATTAGCTTTCTTCCAAGCATATTAGCTTTTCCATAGAGCTTAATGAAACACGTGAGAATTTCAATTAACACTAGTCCCAGTGTTAATTGAAGCGTCCGCTTACGGTATTAGAAGGTTTAAGGTCTGCTTAAGGTTTCGTATCCGCGTACGAAAATGCGCTATAAATATTATCTATTCTGTTCGAGGTGTATTTATTTGTGCGATACTGTTAACACGTATTTGCGGGCGTGAATGCTCTAGCATGCGTTCTCATTGTGATGCAAATTGACGCGAATGCTATAGCATTCGAATTTATAAGCCACATGCGTTCAATTCTATACGGCGTTTATTTTCTTGAAATTATTGCACGCTTTAATGCCACGGCTAACTGGTTCATTGAGTACTTTCATCTAATTTGTCTTTTCTTTTGCTGTCCGCGTGTCAAATAATACATTCAGATACCTGCACAAATGAACAATAAAAAATTGATAAGAGAACCTTGTTGAAACAAACGTTCATGCTTGAAAATTCTATGGACATTTCTCGACCCTATCTTAAGTATGCTAGAAATAATTATCAGAAGTCAGATAGTGAAATAATGAAACTGCAGATTTTTATGCAAATTAAAAATTGTCTAGCTTAATTATATTGATTAATATTAATTGTAAGTCTGATAAAAATGTCCTTTTTCTTCGAATCATTCCAACAAGTTCTACGTAATATAAAAATATACTAAAATTCCTCCGATGTCTGTACATCTTTGTATTTGACCTAATAATTTAACCTAATCAATTTGGTCACAAATTGCATAAAATCTGCAATCTAGAAACAACAATATCCATACTCGATTCAAAATGAACCCACGCCGTGCTAGCATCAATCGAATCGACACGATTTGTCCCGATATCGATTACGCGATTCCCATCGCGCATGTAAATGAAATTTCGCGAGATTCGACCTTGGATATGCTCCAAGAATCTCTGGAATCTTGACGCGTCTTCGCGAAGTTCGTCGTGAAAGTCTTCCAGACCCTGAGAAGACGCTTTCGCCAACTTCTTGGTACCTCGAATCGAATCGGTCCAGGTGCTGCGATCCTAAACCAGGCTTGTAACGATTCCATTGGGACCTGGAACATCCTCTAACAGTGTCCAAGGACCTGACAACGATTCTCCCGAAGGACAGCTCCTATACGAAGGACCCCAAGACCTGCGTAGTCCTCGTCCAGTATCGTCGAAAGCGACTCGAAGGTTTGCTCAAGGTTGCCACGAACTCCGTGGACCTTGACGGAACGCCGGACTGCGACGATTTCCACCGAATGACCGCAAATAACGAGGACATATTCGTTTCCGGGTCCAATCGGAGTTTCGGGGGGCTCGCGTTAACCTTTTAGGCACGACGCGCCACTATAGTGGCTTCCGCGGATATCATCTTTATAACGACACGCCACTATAGTGACTTTCGCGGATGTCATCTCTCTGGACGACGCGCCACTATAGTGGCTTGCTCTAGTAGCTCACTCGCTCATCGTTTGAACCAAATAATCGTCTTCATATGCATTGTTTCACGCTTCTTTTGTCTTCGCATCGATTTACAACAGTCTGCAGGGTGTCCCAAAAATGTCTCGCAATCCGGAAATGGCGGGTTCCTCGGATCATTTGAAGCAACTTCTTCCTTTACAAGAATGTTCTCCGAGGCACCGTTAACGAGTTATCAACGAAAAACAGTGACCAATAAGAATCGAGTACGGCTGACGCGAGGCGGCCCAGCCAACCAGCGCGCGAAGCCCGGTTCCGCTCACTGGCTCGATCGCCTCGCGCCAGCCGAGCTCGCCTCTCATTGGTCACTGTTTTTCGTTGATAACTCGTTAACGATGCCTCGGAGAACATTTTTGTAAAGGAAAAAGTTGTTCCAAATGGCCCGAGGAACCCGCCACTTTCGGATTGCGAGACATTTTTGGGACAGCCTGTATATAGAGACAGAATATACAGTATCAGACTCTGTACAGTACATATCAGACTCTGCCGCGTCCAAAGAAACAGCCTCGCGCAGAATTCAGTCGTACCTATAAGCTTAATGGCATGGAGCACGGTGAAAAAGTTTCGCTGTCGTGGATGTGGAGCAGAGCTTAGACAACGAGACGGAACACAAAATGTGCATCGTTCGGTCTCGCATGATTTACGGCAATAACGAGCAGATAATTAAGTAGGACTCGTAGATGCACCGCTAAAAATAGACGGTCCCGTGGGCCGCGCGGAGAGACGACGGAGGGATTCCCGTTCGTGAATTTATCAAGGCGCGCGCGCGCGGGCGCGATGCACACGGCTGTGTGCCGGCGCCGATAAGCAACGGAGCGATTACGTAAACGAGCCGGCGAAACATTCTCCGTGTTATCGGCGCCGCAACATTGTGTGCCTCGCCGCGGAGGAGTCTTCGAGATTGCGACGTTATCGGCGCGTTTCCGACAGTATCTAGCCGGCACCAGACGAACGAAATTCCTGCGCGTTGCATTGTAAACAAATATACGCCGGCGGGGTGGGTGCACGTGCGCGCGCGCGCACGCGGACACGTCCGTGAAATTCCGCCGGCGACCGTAAAGGATTAACATAATTGCTAATAACAACGAGCTCCCGATGACACAATGCTCGCCGGAATATCGATACCGGTGACAAGCATCCGGCGAGCGTCAAGATCGATAAACAAGGCGTCAATCTTCTGACTCATCCCCCCATAATCGCGTCATTTCACCGCCGCCGCCGCGTGTATGCGTGTACCCGTTTCTGCATTCAGTGACGTAGCCCCGAGTCAAAATCTCCCCCGCGCGCCCCGCCGGGCAGGCGCAACGTTCGCCGACACCCGATTTATAGACAGAGCCGCGCAACCCCTGTGCCCGATCAACAAACCCTGTACGGGGCCGTCTTTACCCTCCGCGGAGCACGATTCTACGGACATGGCAACAAAATGTTCCCTATCGAACAGCGCGTCGAGCAAGACGTATTAACATTTTAGGTACGGCTGAATTCTGCGCGAGGCTATTTCTCTGGACGACAGAGTCTGATATGTACTGTACAGAGTGTCTGTATATTCTGTCTGTATATTGTTCAGATACAGTTATATTGTTAAGATAAGATCTGTATATTGTAAATCGATGTGAAGACAGAAGTAGTGTGAAACAATGCATACGAAGACGATTATTTGATTCGAACGATGACCGAATGAGCTACTAGAGTAAGCCACTATAGTGGCGCGTCGTGCCTAAAAGGTTAAATCTCGGTTTTATAGTTGCTGATAATTCGTAACTGTAAAACGAGGCGCAAGACTCGATTTAATCGTATCTCCTTCTCCCTAAATTGTCCAGTTTCGCGGACTGTACAGTAACGTACAGTAATGTCTCCCTTACTGACGCTCAGATTCTTCACAAAACTGGACAATTTGGGGAGAAGGAGATACGATTATTCTTTTAGGTACGGCTGAATTCTGCGCGAGGCTATTTCTCTGGACGACAGAGTCTGATATGTACTGTACAGAGTGTCTGTATATTCTGTCCGTATATTGTTAAGATACAGTTATATTGTTAACAGTTATATTGTTAAGATACAGTTATATTGTTAACAGTTATATTGTTAAGATACAGTTATATTGTTAAGATAAGATCTGTATATTATAAATCGATGTGAAGACAAAAGAAGTGTGAAACAATGCATATGAAGACGATTATTTGACTCAAACGATGACCGAGTGAGCTATAGTGGCGCGTCGTTCAGAGAGATGACATCCGCGAAAGCCACTATAGTGGCGCGTCGTGCCAAAAAGATTAACCCTCTCCGCCTTGCAGTTTCATCGCGAGGCTTCCGACTCGAGCATGCTATAAAATGGTGTTCATTCGATCCAACAAACGTATCGCAAAGCAATTTGTATCGCTTGAAAATCAACGTCGAATGCAATCTAGTGCTGCTTCAATAATTAATGTCGAGTTGCCGGCACGTGTGTGCGTGCGTGTGTGTTATATTTATGATAAAACGTCGAGAAATATTAACTCGCTGTACTCAACTGCAATTTAATTTCCATGGTTATCGATTAAAAGATTCTATAAAACGAATCGGACGCGATAATAATTGTATTTTATAAAGCAATTGAAATTGCTCCAAAATCAGAAAGTTAATTCAAAAGATCGCCTTTATGCGATTTATTATTTTATCGTGAAACGTGAAGAAACAGCAGCCCTTTTGCTCGAAAATGTAACTCCAAGGTTTCTAATTAAAATACACTGTGTAAGCGTGTGAACGAATCAAGCGTACAAAAGTTGCGATGAATTTAATTGGCCTTAAAACCAATGGTAAAACACGTTGAAAACAAATCTTGCCTCGCGATAAAGTGTTTCAAAATATTAACCCGTTGCCTTTCGATTCAACTCCAAGGCTTTCGATTACAATACAAATTTCGCATCGTTTTTCGCACGAACGTCGAAGCAACGTTGCCGCCGCTTGGAATATTTTCCGATCGAAAACATCGATGATAATCGTGTTCGAACGGATAAAAGATCGTAAGGCGGATTGATCGGCCAACATTTCGACGTCTGAAAACGTGTAACGTAATTGTTTTCCCAGTTCGCACCCCCCACCCTCACACCGGTCTAGGGAGAAACAAGGTTGCAGAGCAGAGAGAGCCGACCTCAAACTGCGAACAGTTAAGTACCTACCACCATCTGGCCGAGCGAGATAAAAGGATTTAAAGAAGCCCGCGCTTATTCAAATAAACAACACCGAGAGCCCGCGGCCATTGTCCGCGCGAAATCGAACGGGCGAGATAAAAAAAAAAAAAGAAAAACAAGAAATCGCGCCGCGCGATGAAATCCGGTGGGAAAACAACACTCACCGTGGCTTCTTCATGGCTTGTCGATCGGCCAAACTCGACGTGTCACGTGTCCCCCTCGTACGTCATCGGGGGTCGTCTCATGGCATCGACGAATCGCCGTCCAAAGGGCACGCGGCGCGGTCGAAATCAACGGGATTCGGAATCGTCGGTGATGGTAGTAGTAGTAGTAGTAGTAGTATTACAAAATTCCCTATAGTTCGTTTTCACTCGTGTGCCTCCGTTTACCACGGATCTATCTCTGTCTAACCGGCACCGCGGTACATAGAACCGTAGTCGTTATTTCTTTCTCACCGGTCACATCGCGCACTGTCTCTGTCCGACCCGAGCGATAGAGCCGCGAAGGGACGTGCTGTACGTACGCGCGGCTCGGCTCGGCGCGGCGCGACGGTACGGAACGCGCGGAGGAAAACTCTGGCAACGTCGCGCGCTGGCTCACTCGCTCTCTCGCTCGCTGTTTCGCCTCCCGTTCTCGCCGTTACGTCGTCGTGCTCGTCGATCCGCACACCCCGTGTGCCGCTGTACTCTTTTTCTCATTCTTGCCCGCCTGGCTCACCGTCCGTCCGTCCTACTCCGATTCCCCGACACGAGAGACGCGCGATACTCGCGCACGTACTACACTCGAGCGCCGCGGCGGGACACACCGTGACAGGGGACAAATGTACACACGCGCGCACACGCGCCGTTCGTTCGTTCAACAGAGAAGGAAACGTGCACGGAACGTAACTCGCGCACACCGACAGGGCCACGCTCCTCTCGGCGTGTGTACGCGCGCGACGCGCCGATCGCCGATTTTACTACGGTTCCCTGTGCCGGTGTTGCGGCCGATTCCCTTCGACGACCGATCGTTACACGACCGCGGCCGATCCGGGACACGACCGCGGAGCACCGATACCACTTTCGTGTCAGGAATCCACGAAGGAAACTGACGACCGCCGACGAGCGCCCAGAGGAGTCCGAGAGGGCTCTCGGTCTATACGAGGACGGAATACCGACGTCCTTGTCCAACGCGTGGTCCGTGCGTGCGCTCCGTCTCACTTCGATCACACCGAACACCGTCCCCCCTCTAGGTCGCGCGATTGTTTTGCTTAGGCTCCGAGCACGCACCGTTCCCCGAACACACCTTACACCGACGCCCGGCCGACTATCAACAAACGGCACGGCTGATCAGCCGCGCGACGCCTCGCGCACCCTCAAATACACCACCATGTTTCGATGTCACCTTCGGAGGTACTCTCACTTGCTGGCGGTGGCGGAAGCCATATTGCGATCGCTGTTCGTGACACCGCCGGAGCGCCAATCGGCCGGGCGGCAGGGGGGGAGGCCGAGCGACCCCATTGGTCGAGCGCACCTGTTACCGCGCCGACATCTGACGCCGGGATTTCGAAGCGATACGGGGAAACCGCTTTGCCGGGCGAGTCGAGAGCCGGGTTTCGATCAATGGACCAATTTGAAAATTATCATTCCGCGCGGTTCGCGAAGCGTTTTCTACCGTCGAATGGAGAGTAAGTACCGTTTTTCTTGCGTGCGGATTTTAATGGATCTAACGTTTGTCGCGGTGATCGAGCGGCAGCGTTTAATTGAAAAACGCTAAGGCGTTTCTCGGTTAATATTTTTTTTGAAAAAATGTCTCGAAGATGATTATGGGATTGTGAAGAATGTGTGGAGAAGTTCCTGCGTGATTTTCGGATTTACTCGCTTTCGAAATTATTTCGTCGAAATTCGCGAAAGATTGGAACAGTTGGGACCATCGAATGAAATGTTTATCTTCGCCGGGGATCGATTAGAGATTTACTGACACGCGGTCTCGGTTACCGTGTTGAGAAATACTTTGTTTGATTACGATATTAATTGCAGAATATTATATAATATATAATTATATAATAATATATATATATATAATATTATATAATTATATTATATTATTTTTATATTTTATATTATATATAGTATAGTATACTATTATTAATATATTATAATATTATTATATAATAATATATTATAATTATATTATATTATATAATTATATAATATAATAATATAATATTATATTACATAATATATATAATTATATAATATAATAATATAATATTATATTATATAATATATATAATTCTACTGTTGGCAAAATTCGCGCCAAGAAACATAACTATGAAGGATCAAATGATACGTTCGTCTTTAGTACAGATCAATTAGAAAGCGTTACTAGACTTTTATACCGAAAGGAACGTCGACTGAGTAATAAATTCGTTACAAAATATAATTCAACTGATCGAATTAAACAATGGCCGAGTGCGAGACTCGGCTCTAAAAGTTACACTTATAACGTTAAAGGTAAAAGCTTCGATGAACCCCTTTAAGAAAGGATTTATGGACTCTTAAATTACGCTCGACGGGTCATCGTTGACCCCCCCCCCCCCCCCCCCCCCCCAAAACACCCCCCCCCCCCCCCTCTCAGAGATAATTAGTAGTGGC